AAAAAGCAGAGTCCTTGTTGAGGAAGAGAAATAAAGTTTTCGAGGTATCCAGTACAGAGTGGTAACATCTAGTACTCTAAGCCCATGCCTGGAATGCCAGTTCTTCGTTTGTCCATGAATTTTTTCCTGTGACCCTGAACTGATCTTTTGAGTTTTATTTATCCTTTCTGTAAGAATTCAATGTTCTTAGTATGTGTAACAAGAGAATAGCAATAGCTGGGAGAATGATTGTTGTAATTTTTCCGTTCATTTCAAGCTTTAGCATCCTCTGTAACTGTACAATGCTTATGAGTAGTATAGCGAAATAATTTACACTATTATGGTAGTAGTGTAACATTTAAAAAGCTTGCTAGTGTTTTTTGCCAGTCACTTTTCAGTACACTGACAAAGAAAGGATCCCACGCACTGTAGGAAAAGCATTCTTTTAGTTCTAATTTGTAAAGTTGGAGAGCAATTTCACTGTCACTTGTTTGGCTTAAATACTTTAATTGTTGGTTTGGTTTTGAAAGCAGGGGTAAAAAAAAGGTAATATCTGTGTCCTCTTTCTTTTCTATACTTTTTTACCTATGGGGCTGAGACAGAACTCTTGTAAGTCAAGCATGGTAAGCCAAAATCCAGCATCAGATACTTCAAAGAAAATCTCAGTGCCAAAGCAAACTGAAGAATATTGGAGAAATTCCTGTTTTTTCACTTTTGGAAAGTATTTAAAAAATAATAACAAAATCTGTATTAAAAAAAAAATAATCTGTTTGAAGTCAGTGGTTCCCAGCATTATCGCATACCAGTCTCTGTTTCTGAAATTTATATCCCTAATTTTTCAAGTGAGAAAACCAAATTGAATGGAGCCACTAACAAGTGGTAGTATAGCTGCATGGCAGTAGTGCTGTTTGATGTAAGGTATACTTGTGAATTTAACTAATGGAATGTACAATACTGATTTACTGCAAATTATTAAAATAATTTTTATTAAATAAATGGAATGACATACCTCTACTTTGAGGAAGAAAGGTTGTGCAGTCTTTTATTAGTGACTATGTATGTGACTAATTTTTGCATAGTTAGCTGATTGAAGATATTGTAAAATATTTTTGAAATTGGGAAGCTGAGCACCTTTATAGCATTGTTTCTTCTTTGAGTGTTTATGATATGTATGTGGGATTCATATATATATATATATATATATTTGAATGAATGCCCACTATTTTGGTTTTTTATTTTTTCCTCTTTTTTCCCCCATGCAGGAAAAAGAGAATGATAAGTGAGGTTAAGTGATACTAACATAAAGCTGATAACTACTTATTAAATAAGTATTTGATTTAAACTAGAGAACAGACTGGGTCTAGAAACTGCAATTGTAAATAAAAAAGAATCCTACAGCCAGAAACCTGTAATTTTTTCAATCTGAAACAGCCCCTGTTAAGCGTTCTATCTAGTGCTTAATGCAGTCTGTGCCTCAGGATGGTATGGAGAATACACACATGTTCAGCAGACATTTCTGACTTTTCTTGAACAATGGAGTAGGATTGCTGTCCTGAGTCAGTTCTGGCAAAACTGTGGAATGCACAGCTTGGTCTGCCTTTCCACTGCTGGTGTCACTTGCCTTTGGCTGCCAGGGAGGAAATTGAGCTGTTTTGATCTCTTCTGGTACAATGGTTTAGTATACCTCAGTTTTTGTTGTGTTTACCCAATTACTGGGTCTTGGCTCCCATAAGCCAAGTAAAAGCAGGGACTGTGCCAAAGGTATGAGACATTTTGAACGTGAATGTTGCTGCATCTGAGGTTTTGACATAATGGAGAGTTTGCAATGCAATCATCTTGCAGCAAAATCTTTTAATTTCATTATAATTTCTTCATTTAATGTATAACTGACCTGAGACATGGCTCATTGGTGTGCAGGAGGGAAATTCTAAATGTAGGTACAAAAAAAAAAAGAATTGTGTCCTGTTTCAAAGCAGCAATTTCTTTTTATTGTTGAAGATACCAGCTCTACTGAGTGGTACCAGGTTGGTGTGCTGGATTCAGTGTATTCCTGTTACAGTGTAGGCAGAGGTGTGCTCTAATGGCTGTGCTGGTGTAAGAGGTTACTATTAGTGTATCCATCTCTTGCTTTAAATTAGATGCCCTTTAGTGTTCAGTCTAGGAAATAGGCTGGGTTAACCGTAAATGTATTATTCCCTTCCGCCCCATCTAATTTTTTGGAATCTGTCCACAGACTAATCTAGGTGTATGTGGGACCTTCAGGAGTTGTTCTCTCAGCTGTCCTTGATGCCAGGCTTTTCTCTGTGTACTTCAAATGACAAAACACAAGGATACCATAGGAGTGGATATACTGTCTGTGCAATACTGAAAATAGTCATAAACAAGGAGAGCTTTTCATTGGTAAGCCAGAACAAAAGAAAATGCTTATCTTCTGCAGTAAGAAATGTCAGATTTTACCTCTTTAGCATAAAAATAGTCATCTTCTGACAACATATAAAAGTGAACCTGAAATTTTGTACGTGTTAAAACTGTCACTGGTGTAAGGAAAGCAAACTATCATTTTAATCTTAAAAGCTTTGTGGAGGCAGAATAATAGTGCTGTCTTAACTGTCCTTAAAAGGTTATGTTTTTCTCATTTTTAACACTGTGGAAAGCATGATGCTGTTTTGATGACACTGAACACTGCTATGGGATAAAATAACCAGGATTCTAAAAGAAGACATAGTCTTTGAAATGTGGATTTTTTTTCTATGGTACCCAACGTATGCCAGAGTTTTCTGTAGTATATTAATGCTGTTCAAAGATGTTAAAATGTTACTCTTAAACAGGAGTAAGAAATGAGTGTAGTAGTCGAAAGGTGGAGAAGAAGGTCTGCATGGTTCAGTTCCTGAAATAAAATCATGTATTTACTTATGGTGTTGATTAGAAATATCTGAATCCATATATGAGAGTAGTTAAATATTTAATTGAAACTGTAATGACCTAGATGAGGTGCTTTTACTGCAAACTTATAAAATTATGTTTTGAATTTAGTATTTATCTTGTAATAAATCACTTTGTAGCAGGAACTGAACTACTTGGTTTTGGTCCTGTTGTTCTTCAGTATCTTAGAACTCGTAGGCATCTGTCTGTGTCACTAGTTAAGAAAGTAGTTAGTTTCCCTGTTTCTTAAGGTCCAAATTTGCTTGCCAACTTTGAGTAGTTACTCAGTTAAACTAGCTCAATAAGCTAGAGATAAGAATGAATGTACTGTTGCAGGGTAGATTAATGTCTAGAGCAGTATTCTGTCACCACTGCTGGCCACAGGCAGGCCCATGTGAAAAAGTTAAAAACAGGGCAAAATGTATGAACATTTTCAGTTCAGAGAGTTGTATGAGTTTGTTTAATAAACCAGAACGGATCTCTGTTCCAAATGCCTGTCTCCCCTTAAGTGATATAAACTTCTTGCATCCATAGTGTCCTTTGACAAGTGAAATACATGCTGCCCTTACTTGCAGGAAGGGTTGCTACTGTCAAAAAGTGCTTAAAGATTTGAAAATAAAGTTTCTTGAATTCCTAGGTTTATCATTCAGTGGTTTTGAACCTCTTCAAGCTTGATGTATGAAACACTGTGTCAATGTTATTTTTCTAAGGATTATGCTGTGTTATAGAAGTTTAGGTATTGATCTAAATTGCAAAATAGAAAATAATCTTGCTTTTAATTCTTAGCTTCTTGTTAAGCTAAGCATTGTCTCCTTGTTGATAGATTTGGCTGAAAACTATGGATTTAGCCTGATTATTTTTCCCCCCAACCTCTTCTTTATTCTGATTTCCTTTATCATTACAAAAGAATACACAGTAATAACTCTGATAGTCTTTTTTTTTTCCTGGTATTAGCTATGTGTTTTAATACAGACACGGTGGTTGTAAACATGTTCAGAAGAACCTGAGTTCTTGTGTATTTGCTTAGGAAAGCATTGTTCTTCATCTTCTGATGGTGCTGAGATACTCAAAAGTTTCTAATTTGTAAGAAATTATGGGATTATTAAGGTTTTGGTACCATGTGTTTAATAAATCTGGCTCTGTGATGCACATGCCTTAATGTGGTATAAAGGCTCATCTGATTCCTAAATGTTTAAAGAATGGAATAGAAAGGTCACTGGTTGTATCGGGGGAAAAAATGTAATTATCAGTTGAGGGGGAGAGGAACGGGAAAGCATGGAGCATTCAGAATAAAATTACTTCAGTTATTAGTGGTGAAGAGGAACATGGTGTTTTGGTGGTGTTCTGGGTCAAGTTTTACAGGTTGATTGCTTTTTGTGTTGAGACTGCAGCAACTCACAAAGACAGTAACTGGGTTACAGTGAAAGGGGGAAAGGATACTAAAGGTTGGCTTAATGTCGAAATGAATGTGAATAGTGAGTGTCAGGAAGTTCATCCCAAATTAGAGATAAAGTTCAAATACCTTCTATACCTAACAGCATGAACAAAGCAGCAATGAAACAGTGGATCCTCCATCTCAGAATTTAAATGTGTGCCCTTATGGAAGATAGCCTTGGTCAAGGATAGATGACGAGTTAGTATGGGAGCACTGCCTGAACAGTTACATGGCTTGTGTAGGAGTGTAGAATGGTTTAGCTATTAAGTTCCATCAGCTTTTGATCTGTATTAAGTAGGTATAGCTAACTTAAAGTGCTTGAATGTTTTGTAATAATGCTAAGTAAAGTGGTCTGGGAATTGATGATAGGTTAAGATTGGGTAACCTCTGTACAGGTATATTTTTTTCAGAATTGGGTAAAAAAACCCCAAAACTGCTTACCCTCCACCTTAGCATGTAATCACCTTTTGGAATATCAAGTTTTAACATTGCATAAAGACTTATTGGCTGGCAAGTAAGTGGATGAAAGCTTTATATTGAAGCTTTTTTAAAAAAGAGATTTGTATGGGATTTGTGTCATAAAAATATCATGATTATTTAAGATGATGACTTTGAATTGGTAATAATAAATAGCATTTGTAATTTTGATTTGTTTATTTTGCAGCTCCAGTTGTTAACCGATACAACAGGAGAGTATCAGGTATGATTTCCTTTTAAGAATTTAATGTTTCTGAAAAAGTTTTGAAATCTGTATTTGACTAAAGGAATTACATTAAAAATTACTTTACTCTTCATCACTGCCTTATTTCTCATACTTCTACCAGTATTTTTATTTGAAATAATGAGAATTGTTTCTTAATTCACTGTAGAAACCAGTGGGCAATACGTTGAGAGCAGTTTAGAAAACAGTTCTGTGGGTGATCACAGACTATTGAAGCAACTTCAGCAGTAGTAATGATTCTGTCCAGAAAAACTTCCCAGAACTTTTATGCAACATAATAATTATGGCAAAGGCTTGCTCTGCAGTGAATTGAAAAAGTGGCAGCTTCTTTCTGCTGGAATACATCTAATCTTCCATGTTACGAAGAAGTTTATCTCTGGTTAGAATACAGAAATATGGGGATGGGGAGCGTCCCCTGTTTGTTTTAGCCCCTTGCTTGTGCAACTGATATTTAAAGTTGTTGGAAATGTGTCTGTTCACTTGTTCTGGGGATGCAGATTATACTTTTTTGTTTGTTTGTTTTCTATCTTAACCAAGATTAAATGCTTTAATGAGTAGCTTTTATTCCCAACAAATTATTTTTGAACAGTATCACGTCAACAAAATGTTATGTGTAGATGAGAAGGTATTGTATTATTTTTTTCATTTGAGGTGCAGTGTGGATTGCTTTGCATGTTACTTTTTTTTCTTCTGATATTTAATTGTAGCATTTAGCTGATCTAGAAAGTCATTATGGTTCTGGTTTGAAAAATGTCTTTATAAAAATGCCAGTGTGTTCAGGGTGTTCTCTCTAGCTTTCAGTTCAAGTCTACTCAGTTTGTAACTTTTGTATATGATCTCACACGTTCTTTGTTATGATAGTTACGGTGGGGCATTGTTGATAGTATGGTATTTGTGGTATATAAATATAAAGGAGATAAATACATGTTTAATTTTATGTGCAAAATGTCCTTATACCCATGCAGTTCAGTTGCTTTACTACTAGTTGCTTGGGTATGATTAAGGGTATGACTGTGTATTTATGCCACTACATATAAGTAATTGTGAGTATAATGAGAACTCTTAAAAATTGACTGTGCTGGTAGTTTTGGTATGTTATTACATGAGAAATTTAGGCAAGACAAAACTGTATCTTGAATAACGGAGTTTGATAGTAAATATTGGAAGCCATACATTGTAGAGTATCTTAATCTGGAGAGTCCCAAGACATTTTCATTTCTCTGCTAAACTAGTCCATCCTGCAACCTTCTGATGGAGTAAAATCTTACAAATGAGAAGTGGCTGCATCTCAGAATTAAGTTTAAATAAAGGCTACATTGTTCCTGAAGTTAAAAAGTTGAACCTTAATCAGAGGGTAGTTGTAATCTTCTTGAATCTTCAATACCGAAATGTAGTATTGGTACTGAGCTACTCTTAGTTAAAAAACAGGTTCCTTCATTGAAGGGGTCTAAAGGTTAATGTGAACAAGTAAAGAGCAAATGTAAAATTGAATTGCTGACTTACGCAATTGGATTAAGGAGGACTGTTTAGATGCTTAATAACACTGCTGCTCCAAGAAGAGCTAGAATAATTCAGAGTGTACAGTACATGTTAGAATTGTCATGGAGACAAACATTAATAGAATATGTACATTTTACTACTGTGTGTTAAATACTTTTCACAATTTAAAAAACCCCCTTTTTCCTCCACTTTCTCTATATATACACACTGTACAGGTCATGATCAGTGTAGGATTTGTTAAAATGCGAAAGAGATGCAAACAGCATCCATGCATATACAAGGAGACCCCATTTTCTTTCTCTTGGCAGGAGAAGCACAGAAACCTACTGGTTTGGGGTGGTGGGGAGTTGTTTGGTGGTTGTGTTTTTTGCACTCTGTACCTGCTGTGTCTGTCAAGAAGTTACCCAAACAGGAAGAAAACTGGCAGGATTCTCATAGGTTATTGAACTCAGCCCCCTGCTATCATAGGCAACCACATTTTATAATTCCTTGCATAAAATGAGTGACTGATTTGTTGGTTTTGGTGCTCTGAATTTGATTTTATTTCCTTGTTAGATGTGTTAGGTTTTAAGAAACTCTTCGTTCTGCAATTTTTACAAGTTTTCTTTTTTTTTTGTTAATAAACCAACAAATAACAACAAATAACAAACCAACATTGCATTATGGATTACTCAGTGTACTATCTAAATATATCTGGTTTTAACTAATGAAGTAAAGCAGAACAAACCATGGAGAAGAAAAGCTGACACACAATTTTTTGTAATTGCATTTTGTGTATTCTTTTCTGGTCTTCTGAATAGAAGAACTCTCTGCTAGTTTGTGTTGAACCTTCTCAGTCCTACCGGTGATTGTCACGTTTCCAGTGCACTGTACATTTGTAAGGGGGGTAAAGAGCAGCGCTAAATTATTTGCTGGTATCAAGATTTATATGCACAAAATTGTAGATTTACAGTACTCTGGCTGAACAAATAGGAGAATAATTTCAAAACTAACATTGGCCATATTGAAGAAAAGACTTAAAATTCAAGCAAGAATTCTTTTTTTTTTCTTTTACGCATTTGGCTGCCTAGGGAATTATGGCATTGCTCTCATTGTTCAGTAGGTCAAGAATGAAAGTTAGAAAAAATGCACTTCTAATTAAAGGAAAAGATGACAAAGTAATTGTCTACAGTATACATACAGTTTAGGACAGGCTAATAATTGTTCTGGTAAAGAATTCAACTAGATATATATTCTTGGAGACTTAACAATTATTTATGACCCTTTCTTACACATAGCAGTTAGAGAATCTCTTTTAAATTGCTTTATTAATGTCCTTAATATTACATTTGGAGTGTTTACTTCTGGTCAGTTGTGATTAGCTGCCTGAAGATAACAGCATGATCATGATTCCCTTGGTGGACTAATGCAAATTCTAAGGATGCATAAAGCTATAGAAAAACCCTGTTGTAATGATTACTGAATTTTCATTTAGGTGTTTATTTTTAGTTATGAAACATCTAAACCTGGGGCTCTTGACTGTACTGGCAAATATTGTTTTAATGATTGTAAATATTTGGTTGTCATTCGTTAAGACTTACTCAAAATACGAGTCTTCTGACACATGGTGAGAATTGGTCAGGAAGTTTATTTTTGCATTTTTTTAAAACTTCGAGCAAATTAGTTTACTTCTAGCTTATGCAGTACCTCAGTAAAATACTTCAAGAAATCAGGATTTAAGAAAACTGCTTGACAAATAGTAATCTATTACAAAGGTCAAGCTGACCTTGTACATTAAAACGTATCTTGTTTATAGTCTTTTTGTCCAAAAGAGGAATGAATTTTATTCTACATTTCTCAAATCATTGACTGAAAGTGATGATACTGCTTTCATATCCCCTAAGTGATAGTAGCACATTCTCACATACTGCTTCTTTCTCACCCTGTAGTACTGAGAACATGGGGTTTCATTCTGCTTGCTTGTGCTCCCCATTTCTGCAACATTTGCTACTTACTCGTCTCCTAGGCTGATGTGTTGCTTGAGGGGGAGGGATAGTGTTGGCTTGCTTGGCATTAAACTCTTCCAAGCGATTCGACAGCTATAAAGGCTCTGCAGGGAATCCCATTTGCTTCTTGACCAGAGAAACATGGTTTTGTGTGCTGGTCAGAGATTCAGCCAGCAAAGCAGGGGTCTGTGGGTGGGATAGTGAGAAACTCCACAGACTGTGCAGGAGGATCATCCTGGAAAAGGGGGCCTTATCTAATCACGTTCACAGAATTATTTATAGAAGTGCAGAGTGGTAAAGTAGTGTTCTCATGAAGAGAAACAGCCTTTTCCAGGAAATGCTAGGAGGGAGAAAGATAAATGAGAGCTTGACGTTCCCCTAGAAATTTATCTAATAAATAGATTACTTGTGTGTAGCGGGTTTGGCCATGTAACATGTTGAGGTTCCTCAGCGTGCACACAAACCCCAAGCGTTGTGTTGGTCAGTTCTTTATTTGTATACAAGCTGGTGGCTGGTGAAAATAGTCCTCTCTTTCCAAAATCATAAGCTATCCCTATGTAGAAACTAAAAAGAAAAAAAACAACACCAAAAACCAAACAACCCACTGATTTTAAAATCTCCTAGCTATAGGATGCCATAGACTGTGGTGCCATGGGCAATTTCAGTGTAAATTACCCAGCAGAACAGTTGTCTTGCTGCTGCTTTAAGTTAATTAGCAATGGCTGAGCCTTCTGCTAGTGTGAGTAACTCATGTTATGAGGCTTGCTGACTGACTCAGTCTGCCCAAGCTTGGTTTGAATGGCCTGAAAACCATACAGATTCCTTCCTCCCAAAACTTGGACTGTGTTGAAATTCATACTTGCTTGATTATGTTTCTTGATCTTCCTCCAAGCATAGGGCCTCCTGACGAACGTTGTTAGTTGCTCTTCTGTAGTGAAAGAGACTGCAGAGAATACCAGTGAGTATCTCAGCCCTCGGTTAGTGACTACAGGGTGCAGGGAGGTGGGAGAAATAAGTGATACCTCCTTCCTAAAGTAATAATATCAAAGCTATTTCAAAACTAGAGGGAAGAGAGTGTTGGTATTTGTCCCACTATAACAACTGATATGTGACATTGAAGAGAATTTTTCTCTGATGAATGAATGAAAGTTAATTGTGGTTTTGGAAAGAAGAGTGTGACGCCCACTACAGTCTCACTTGGGCATAGTTTCTCTTCTTCTAGTTTTAGCATGTTTCGGAAAAGTAAAGGTTTTTGGTAGATTTATGTATTGCCATTTCTAGACAACTTTGATTCATTCCACAGAACACCCACTCTCCAGCAGACTTGCTGACTTCTTCATGGGATAGAAAAAAATCTGACAAAAATATGACACCCATACCATAGGCATGTGGCAGAAAGTTTTCGTCTGTTTTCTCTTAATTATTTCTGTTTATCTGAGTGACCTTGTATAATTTATCTCTCTTGTATGTTCCTGTACTCCCTCCTTAATCTTC